TTTTTAGGTAAAAAACAATACACTAAAATCAATTTTAGTGCACACAAACACAATATAATATCCATTTTTTTGTAAAATCGACAATGGACTTGTGCGGTATAAATGGATACCAAACATGTCTAGGCTAAATATTGCACCTGTGAAATGGTGAAAAACTAAGTTACCAAGATTGTACATGAGCAATGCTTTAAAAGCCTTTACAGGTTATCAATTGATATGGCCTTAGAATTATTGCTTTGACTCCAAATTTCATGGTGATACCTCACGTGTTGTGCAATTGCTATTTATATGTGCTACCCTGTTTTTTGCATTTGTGTGTGTACTCGCTGGGTGACCACAGTGCTTTTAATTTTTTTTATTGTAATTAATTTTCCTTAAACACCTTTCTTTAACGTTGCTTACATGGGGAAGAGATGGCAGCAGGATGTGATATTGGAAGAAGGCAAGCTGCCAGAGACAGTGCGATGCTTTGGGCAATATATATCTGAGAAACCTTGGGTTCTGCTATTCATGTGGATGTTACCTTGGCACTTGCCACCTACCTAAACATTGTTGCTGACCAAGTACACTCCTTCATGAAGACCATATTTCATGGTGTCAGTGGCCTCTTTCAGCAAGATAATGCACCCTGGTACACTGTAGAATGGTTTGAGGAACATGGCAATTAGTTTGAAGTGTTGACCTCCAAATTCTCCAGATCTCAATCCTATTAAGCGTCTGGTCTGTGCTGGAAAAACAAGTCCGATCCATGCAGACCTCTCCTGGAGACTTGGATGATTTAAAGGATCTGCTACGGATGTCTTTGTGACAGATACTACAGCATAACGTCTAGTGGTGTCCATGCCTCAATGGGTCAGGGCTGTTTTGGTATAAGGGGGACCTACTCAATATTAGGTGAGTGGTCATAAAGTTATTGTTGAGCAATGTATATCGAAAACTAATCAATTTGGTAAAACATTTTTAATCTCCTAGATTGTAAGCTCGAAGGAGCAGGGCCCTCGAACCCCTCGTGAATCACATTGTATTGTTGTACTGTCGCATGTTCTGTCTCCCTTTTGTAATGTACAGCGCTGAGCGAACTGTTGGCGCTTTATAAATACTGTATAATAATAAGAATTGCATGCTGACCAGGAAGGGGGATGGAAATGGAAGGTATATGAGCACTTTGACGTTCAACTATAAGCAAACTGTCTTAAACGTTTGCTGCAAACAGTGGCCATCATTTGTTCTGGAGCATAAACATGTAAGCGCAGTCTGAGTTTGCTCCATTGTTTACATTTTAGATAAAATCAGACTACAGGCGTACCTCGGTTTACGAACGCCTCAGTTAACGTAATTTTCCTTTTACGACTGAAAATCTATTGAAAATAATGCCTCTGTTAACAAATTTTTTTTGCAATACGAACGGATTAATTGGTTTTCAGTGCATTTACAAATTTTTTTTTTTAGCATGTCCCCTGTACAGTACTATGCCTTTAAAGTGTATTTTATACTTGTCTGACATACTTTATAAATAGTTTTGAACAGATAAGATTTTTTTTTTTTTTTTCTTTTTTCTGACCTCTGGAATGGCTTAATTGGGTTTTCAATTCGATTTTTTTTTTTTTTTTTTTTTTTTTTTTTCATAATACGAATGGATTAATTGGTTTTCAATGCAGTAATGAATACATTTTTAATAATGTCCCTGTACAGTATTTATGCCTTTTAAAGTGCACCTTTTATAAAGAGTTTTGAACGGAAGACTTTTTTTTTTTTTTTTTTTTTCTTTTTTTTTTTTTTTTTTTTCTAACCTCCGGAACGGAATAATTGGTTTTCACTGCATTGCTATGGAAAACCGCGTTTTGGTTTACGAATTTTTTGCAATACGAAAAGTCCCACAGAACGCATTATATTTGTAAACCTAGTTTCACCTGTATATCTAAAATAGAAGGGTGTTAACACCCAGGGCTATTCCTGAGATAAAGTGCTTGAAATTGAGTTTAACGGTGGCGCTAAAGATTGTCTGTAAGGATGGATCATCTTTGCAAAGGATCCAGTCATCCAATAATTGAAACATAAATTTTATTTTGATGTTAGGCCCCTTCCACATGGGATAGGCTCCATTGACGCTGTCCACTGAACAAATTTATGGCTGGTCCGTGTCCACTCCACTTTTTGCAGAGTGGACACGGACACAGTCCACTCTCTATGGGCAATCTGATGTAAATGGACCACCTGTCTGTTTACACCTGATATCCGATCCGCTAGATCAGGGGTCTCCAAACTTTCTATACAAAGGGTCTGTTTACTGTCCTTCAGACTTTAGAGGGGCCAGACTGTCCATTGGGAGTAGAAAAGGTCTCGACATCAGTTGGGAAAAAAATGCCCCATCATTGATGTCAGTGGGAGGAATTGTGCCGCATCATTCGTGTCATTGGAAGAAATTGTTTACCATCGTTGGTGTCATTGGAAAGAATTGTGCCCCTTCATTGGTTTCAGTTGGAGGAGTTGTACCCCATTGTTTGTATCAGTGGATGGCATGGTGCCCCAAGGGTTGGGTAAAAGTAAGCAAAGTGCTGCATCTGGCCCCCAGGCCACAGTTTGGAGACCACTGCGCTAGACGGATGAGGAACAGATCCCCATCTGTCTGTTTTTAGCAGATAGGATTGGATGTAGGCAGGTGTAAATGAACACGACCGTTTTACCTTTGCCATTCCATAGAGGAGACTTGAGGGTTCGATCGGGTCTGTCTGTAAAACGGACAGGACACCTGGTGTGAAAGGGGCCTTATTATGAAAAGGCTGCTCAAAGAACAGCTCCTGAAAGTTCAGTTTAGTAAATCATATTTTATCTGTGAAAGCAAGCTACTGTTTTTGTTTCTTAAAGCAGTACAGTAGTAAGCTTTCACACAAAAAAAAAAAAAAAATCATCCAGCAAGGTAATGTGTGCATCGCATATTAGCACATTATGAGATACTTAACTTAGAATGAAGCCCTCCAGCAGCACATGGTCACCACTGACAGGATGTCTATCTTCATCTAGTCTTTCTTGCTGGTTGCGGGGTATACCAATTAGGTGAATTTGAAGGTAATTTGTTCCACTAGGTTTTAATAAGGGGTATCAGAGTAAAGGGGGCTGTGAATACAAATGCATGCCACGCTTTTCAGGTATTTGTAAAATATTTTGAAAATCATTTATCATTTTCCTTCCACTTCACAATTTATGTGTGCCACTTTGTGGTGTGGTCTATCACAAAATTCCAATAAAATACATTTACGTGTTTTTTGTTGTAATATGACATAAGAAACTAGGATGGGTCCCTCCCCTCCTTTCCCCTCCTTTCCCCTCCCTTTTCCCTCCCTTTCCCCTCCCTTTCCCCTCCCTTTCCCCCTCCCTTTCCCCTCCCTTTCCCCTCCCTTTCCCCCCCCCCCCTCCCTTTCCCCTCCTTTCCCCTCCCTTCCCCCTCCCTTTCCCCTCCCTTTCCCCTCCCTTTCCCCCCCTTTCCCCTCCCTTTCCCCTCCCTCCTTTCCCCTCCCTCCCCCCCCCTCCCCTCCCCTCCTCCCCTCCCTCCCCTCCCCTCCCCTCCTTTCCCCTCCCCTCCCCTCCTTTCCCCTCCCTCCTTTCCCCTTTCCTTTCCCCTCCTTTCCCCTCCCCCTTTCCCCTCCCTTTCCCCTCCTTTCCCCCCCTTTCCCCTCCCTTCCCCTCCCTTTTCCCCTCCCTTTCCCTCCCTTTCCCCCCCCCTCTCCCCCCCCCTCCCCTCCCTCTCCCCTCCCCTCCTTCCCCTCCCCTCCCCTCCTCCTCCCCTCCTTTCCTTTCCTCTCCCCTCCCTCTCCCTCCTCTCCCTCTCCCCTCCCCTCTCCCTTCCCCTCCCCTCCCTTCCCCCTCAGGACTGCCAAATGCAAATTTTTACATATAGCCATTAATCATTTTTATTGAATACATAGGTTAACTAAAGATTATATTTGGTATTTGCTGAAAGAGCTATTTTAACGTGGGGTATAATCATTGAGATCTGGCATTATGTACCAAACATTACTAACGTATTCAGGTAAACTGTCTTGTTTGTACAATCTAATGGTATGTGTATGTTCTTTATATATGTCTGCTGTTTTTTTTTTTTTTTTTGCAAGCCCCCTGTTTGTGACATGGAAGATAGGACGGGACAAAAGATTGCGTGGATGCATAGGAACCTTTTCTGCCATGAACCTGCATTCTGGTCTCAGGGAGTACACACTTACCAGGTAATTTTAACTTATTGCACTACTAGCTTTTTTTTTTTGTTTTTTGGTTTTGGTTTTTTTTTACAATTTTTGCTAGCTTTGTTGTAATGTAGTTATGTATTTTCTCCATTGTTTGGGTTTGGCCTTGCTGGGCAAACCTGGCACGCTTCAATCAGGAACTTGCTACTAAGTACAGAAAACTTTCTTTGGCTTCCCAGACCATGATATTTTCAACAGTTGATTTTTTTTTTTTTTATGTACATCAATTTTGTAATCCTATTTATACATGCAGAACATATGCAGCCCTCATGTACTCATTTACCACTATAAATGTGTCTTGGTTATCTGCAATAGCATAACTGCGAATACCCGCAGGATACTTATGATTAGCATCTTTTATAGGTATCACAAGTATACATTACATCCTATAGAGATCTTAGACTAGAGTGTGTCTATGGGAATGTTTGACCATTCTTCCAGAAGCGCATTTGTGAGGTCAGGCACTGATGTCAGATGAGAAGGCCTGGCTTGTAGTCTTCACTCTAATTCATCCCAAAGGTGTTCTATCAGGTTGAGGTCAGGACTCGCTCATCCATGTCTTTATGGACCTTGCTTTGTGCACTGGTGCGCAGTCATGTTGGAACAGGGAGGGGCCATCTCCAAACTTTTCCCACAAACTTGGGAGCATGAAATTGTCCAAAATGTCTTGGTATGCTGACGCCTTAAAAGTTCCCTTCACTGGAACTAAGGGGCCAAGCCCAACCCTTGAAAAACAACCCCACACCATAATCCCCCTCCACCAAACTTTACACTTGGCACAGTGCAGTCAGGCAAGTACCTTTCTCCTGGCGACGACCAAACCCAGACATGTCCATTGGATTGCAAGTAAGAGAAGCGTAATTCTTCAATCCAGAGAACGCATCTTCACTGCTCTAGAGTCCACTGGTGGTGTGTTTTATACCACTGCATATGATGCTTTTCATTGCACTTGATGATGTAAGGCTTGGATGCAGCTGCTCGGCCATGGAAACTCATTCCATGAAGCTCTCTACGCACTGTTGTTGTGCTAATCTAAAGGCCACATGAAGTTTGGAGTTCTTTAGCTATTGACTCTGCAGACAGTTGGTGACTTCTGCTCACTGTGCGCTTCGGCATGCGCTGACCCTGCTCTGCCATTTTACATGGCCTACTATTTCGTGGCTGAATTGCTGCTGTTCCCAATTGCTTCAACTTTGTTATAATACCACTAACAACTGACCGTGGAATATATAGTAGCAAGGAAATTTCACGAATGGACTTATTGCGGAAGTGGCAACCTATCACGGTACCACGCTTGAATTCACTGAGCTCCTGAGAGTGACCCATTCTTTAGCAAATGTTTGTAGAAGCAGTCTGCATGCCTAGTTGCTTGATTTTATACACCTGTGACCATGGAGGTGATTGGAATGCCTGAAGCCAATGATTTGGAGGAATGTCCCAATACTTTTGGAAATATAGTGTGTTGCGCACGCTAACTGAAATGTATTTAATACTTCCTACAAAATCCTTTGTTGGTAATGACAGCTTCAAGATGCCTCCTGTGTAGATAAACTAGTCGTGTGCATAGCGCAGGTGTGATTTTGACCCATTCTTCCACACAGTTTTCAAATCTTGAAGGTTTCCGTGGGCCTCTTCTATAAACTCTTATCTTTAGTTCCTTCCATAGATTTTCTATTAGATTCAAGTCAGGCGATTGGCTGGGCCATTCTAGCAGCCTTATTTTCTTTCTTTGAAACTTGTCTTGCTGAAATGTCCACCCTTGTTTCATCTTCATCATCCTGGTAGATGGTAGCAGATTTTTATCAAGAATGTCTTGGTACGTTGGTTGGTTTGGTGGGAGGGAAGCAAGTTGCTCTCCATCTGCTAGTGTATCACCCCGGATTCCACTGTGGTGCAATCCGAATGTCCCTAAGCTACTAAACCATCCTGGTTCCGGGTGGTGGAGTTGTCTTGGGGTCACTCACCTCTCCCACGTTTTTGTTGATGGGCGTTTTTCTGTCCTTTTGAGAATTTAAAAACTCGTTATGGAGTAATTAATACATTTTTCTACAAATATTTATTACTATGGCATGCTTTACGAGTTCAGTTTGATACTTTAGCCCTTGAACTTTCCATTCGCCCCTTGAGGGGCTGATGTTAGACCCTGATGTGGTGAAGCTGGTTACTACCTTTTATGCCCGCCTCCAGGTGGCCGGGACTAACTCCTTTCAAATTGCTCTTTGTAAGTGGGAGGCGATTCTTCCCTGGCTCCCTGGGGAGGGTTGGGAGGAGGTGGAGGTCTGTTTTCAAGATCTTATTGGTACTGCTGATAGGTTTATTCAATTTAAATTCATACATCATCGTATGGGCTTTGGATCGGCGTCCTCGTGTCCCCATTGAGGCCTCGAGGGTTTTTTTTTTTTGGTTTTGGATCCCCTTTTCTGTATTATGTAGCCTTATTCTTTGTTTTTTTTGGTTGAACTCCTGTTATTTGTCTCTTCCTTGTTCTATTTGGGTTTCATAAATGCAAAAATAAACACCTTTTTAAAAAAAAGAATGTCTTGGTACATTTTTCCATTTATCCTTCCTCCAATGATATAAATTTTTCCAGTACTGTATGCTGAAATACAGCCCCACACCATGATCTCACCTCCAAACTTCACTTTTGGTATGGTGTTTTTGGGGTGATGTGCAGTGCCATTTGACCTCCAAATATGGTATGTATTATGGCATCCAAAGAGTTCAATTTTGGTCTCATCCGACTAGACTATATTCTCCCAATATTTCACAGGCTTGTCTACATGTTGTGCAGCAAACTTTAAATGAGCTTCAGCATGCTTTTTCTTCAGCAATGGAGTCTTGCAAGCTGAGCGTGCATACAGGCCATGGCGGTTGAGTGCATTACTTAGTGTCTTCTTTGAAACAATTGTAACTCCTTATTCCAGATCTTTCTGAAGCTCTCTACAAGTGGTCCTTGGCTCTTGGGCAACTCTTCTGATATTTCTTTTCACTCCATCAGAAATCTTGTGAGGAGCACCTGGTTGTGGCCTGTTTATGGTGAAATGATGTTCTTTCCACTTCCAGATTATGGCCCCAACAGTACTCGCTGGAACATTCAGAAGTTTAGAAATCCTTCTGTAACCAATGCCATCGGTATGTTTTGCAACAATAAGGTTGTGAAGGTCTTGAAAGAGCTTGTTGCTTTTACCCATCGTGAGCTGTTTCTTCTATGACACCTTGGTAATGAGACTCCTTTTTATAGGCCATCAGTTGAGACTGAACCAGCTGATATTAATTTACACTGACAAGGGGCAGGATTGCTTTCTAACTGATAGATTTCAGCTGTTGTCTTGGCTTTCCATGCTTTTTTGCACCTCCCTTTCTTCATGTTCAATTTTTTTTCCCTGTTTTATTCCATTTTATTACACTTAAATTACTTTCTGAACTTATTTGTTTTTGTTTTTTTTTTGTATGGATCGCATGGGCTGTTACCGACATGTGGTGAAAATTTAATGTCAATGGCACCTTTAGAAATATATTTACCTAGAAAAATGGTGACGTGTTTAATACTTATTTTACCTGCTGTATAATTTTTTTTTTTTTTTAACCATCTCCCTTGTGATGGTGCTTAGGGAGTGACAGGTACTCATAATAGGCAAAAGGATTAAAAAGACTTGTTTACTTCTGCAACTTTGACTTCTGAATCCTGAGGTGGTCACAGGTGATTACATGTGGATTTGTTCCTTCTAGATGAGATTGCATAATGCAAGTTTTAAGCTATGCTGATGCACCAGAATCTTTATTCTGATAGAAAATATATTGCATGTAAAGTTTCCGATTGTTCACCATCAGCTAAATATAAGCAAAAGTTTAAGTTACTTGTTTACCTAAAGCAATGAAATGTCAATTTATAGCTGAGATAAACTGGCATGAACGGTCACCCCTAATAACCTTGGTAAGGGAAAGTTTGATGGTCAGATGGAATAGCCATTTCTGAGTACTACGTTCTACACTGCTCAAAAAAAATGAAGCAACACTTTTTAATCAAGGTATAGCATCAAGTCAATTAAACTCCTGGGATATTGATCTGGTCAGTTAATTATCAGAGGGGGTTGTTAATCAGTTTCAGCTGCTTTGGTGTTAATGAAATTAACAGGTGTACTAGATGGGCAACAGTGAGACTACCCCCAAAATAAGTAATGGTTTTACAGGTGGAGGCCACTGACATTTTTCCCTTCTTGTCTTTTCTGACTGTTTTTTCGCTAGTTTTTGCATTTGGCTAGGGTCAGTGTCATTACTGGTAGCATGAGGCGATATCTGGACCCGTACAGTCTCAAGAACATGGAGGGGATTCCAGGAGACAGGCAGTTACTCTAGGAGAGCTGGTCAGGGCTGTAGAAGGTCTTTAACCCATCAGCAGGACCGCTATCTGCTCCATTTTGCAAAGAGGAACAGCATGCACACTGCCAGAGCCCTACAAAATGACCTCCAGCAGGCCACTGGCATTGAATGTCTCTGACCAAACAATCAGAAACCGATTTCATTAGAGTGGCCTGATGGTCCGATGTCCTCTAGTGGGCCCTGTGCTCACTGCCCGACACCATAGAGCTCGATTGGCATTTGCCATTGAATACCAGAGTTGGCTGTTCCACCACTGGCGCCCTGTGCTTTTCATAGATGAGAGCAGGTTCACTCTGAGCACATGTGACAGACGTGAAAGGGTCTGGAGAAGCCGCGGAAAATGTTATGCTGCCTTTAACATCGTTCAGAATGACCGTTTTGTTGGTGGATAAGTGATGGTCTGGGGAGGCATATCCATGGAGGGACACACAGATCTCTGCAGGCTAAAGAATGGCACCCTGACTGCCATTAGGTATCGGGATGTAATCCTTGGACCCATTGTCAGACTTTACGCTGGTGCAGTGTGTCCTGGGTTCCTCCTTGTGCATGACAATGCCTGGCCTCATGTGGCGGAAGTATGCAGGCAGTTCCTGGAGGATTTAGGCATTGATACCATTGAATGACCCCCCCCTCGCCTGACCTAAATCCAATCGAACACCTCTGGGATATCATGTTTTGGTCCATCCGACACCGCCAGGTTGCACCTCAGACTGTCCAGGAGCTCAATGATGCCCTGGTCCAGATCTGGTAGGAAATACCCCAGGACACCATCGTCTCATTTACCATGCCCCAACATTGTCAGGCATGCATACAAGCACGTGGAGGCCATACAAACTACTGAATACCATTTTGAGTTGCTGCAATTAAATTTTAGCAAAATGGATTAGGCTGCTGCATAATTTTTTCACTTTGATTTTCAGGGTGTCTTTGAATTCAGTCCTCTGTAGGTTGATCATTTTCATTTCCATCAAACAATGGGGCATCCTTACGTTCCTAACACATTACCCAGTCCAAATCAGTATAGATATCCAGCATGATATTTTTCTCCATTGAGATCTGATGTGTTTTCAAAGTGTTCCTTTAATTTTTTGAGCAGTGTCTGAAAAGTCCAGGTAACTAGAATATGATCTTACAGTGAGGCTAGTGCCTGTGTTGCAAGGGTTGATTGCAAGGTTTTATTGCTCGCTTAGGTCTAGGGGAACAATAGATGATTTACTTACCAGACCTTCCACTCCTGCAGCTTGACTGGTCCCCAGAACCTCATCTCCCTCATGCTCCAGCAATCTTCTCTGCGTGAAGATCAATGCAGGGTCCATAGACCTGCATTGGGCATATGGATGCTGAGGGACAGTCAATCATCAGTGCCATCTGCCAGAGGAGTGGAGGATCAAGTAAAAGCTTCTCCACACTGCAAGGGTTGGTTGATTACACTTTAGTGGTTAGAAGGTATTCGATGCTTTAGTACATTTAAATGGATTTCAGTAACAAAGCAGAATGCCATAAATGAATAAAAGCTGACTGTTGTAAGCACCTCTGTCAAAGTCAATGGTTTGTCTCAACCCTCTAACTGCAGCTTTTGCTGGACAGTTTGATTTGTTAAACGAAGTTGAAATATGACTTTCTTTTTGACAGACTAGCATGGGACTACATGGAGGCCGTTTTGACTGGCCTGGGACTGCCTTGCGTTTTCTGACATTTATCATGTCTCTATATACAACTCCCATGGCTAAAGTGCGAGTTAATGGTCTCTTTTCAGATCCATTTTTGATAGGCAATGGGACCAGACAGGGATGTCAATTATCCCCCCTTCTATTTATTCTTACATTGGAACCTTTGTTGAATTGCATTAAACAGAATGACAGCATCAAGGGGTTTTTGATCAGTGGCAAAATTCATAAAATAGCGGCCGTGGCTGACGACATATTACTTTTCCTAACAGACCCACGTATCACGTTACCTAATCTGCTACAAGATTTCAAATTGTTTCAGTATTT